AACCTGACACTCCCCCTGCAGCCTCAGCTGGACAAAGCATGTTTCACGTCATTCCCCAAACTCTTGCCCAGCGTCACCATCCACATCACTGCGATGTCTCGCCCCAGAGCCAGCTACGTTTCAGTGCTGGATGGAGCTGTCCCCATGGCGTAGAGTGGGACCTGCTTGGTCAGTAAAATACTTTGAGATCCCTGAGTGAAAAGCACTATAGATGTGCTGAATACTATTTAAAACACGGGATGATCCTGATTTCCCTCACAGGGTGAAAATCAGGAGTAACTCCGCTAAAGTAAGGAAAGCTACTCTGATGTGAGATCAGAAGGAGATCTGACATTGGGTATATATAGCCATATACAGGATGTGAAAATAAACTTCTGACCCCACCTGCCCACAGTAACAGTGTGGAATTGATACCAAGCAAAGGGAATAATACAGGCAAAAGGACTTTCAAAATACACAAATAAAGAGAGACGGGAGCTGAAAGTTCTGTTACAACAAAGAGGCAGCAGGGGAAAAAAAACTTATCCATGGTCCAAATGCCAGTGACCTGAATTTGGCACTCACATACTATGGTGATGGGCAGCAGTGTACAAATCATAAGGTAGAATTGTGTTGAGAGAGACCCCTCAAAGAACATGGTGAAAGCAAGACCATGAACTTGCCCATCCTTGTCAAGGAAGATCTGATTTAGTTCATGCAGATCTGGTTGCCCCATCTCAAAAAAGATATATTGGAATTGGAAAAAGTTCAGAAAAGGCCAAAAAAATGATTAGGGGTATGGAATGGCTGCCATATGAAGAGAGATTAATAAGACTGGGACTTTTCAGCTTGGAAAACAGACAACTAAGGGGGGATATGATAGAGGTCTATACAATCATGACGGGTATGGAGAAAGTAGATAAGGAAGTGTTATTTACTCCTCCTCAGAACACAAGAACTAGGGGTTGCCAAATGGAATTAATAGGCAACAGGTTTAAAACAAAGAAAAGGAAGTATTTCTTTACACAACGCACAGTCAACCTGTGGAACTCCTTGCCAGAGGATGTTGTGAAGGCCAAGACTATAACAGGGTTCAAAAAGAACTAGATAAGTTCATGGAGGGTAGATCCATCAGTGGCTATTAGCCAGGATTGGCAGGGATGGTGTCCCTAGCCTCTGTTTGCTAGAAGCTGGGAGCGGGTGGCAAGGGATGGATCACATGATGATTACCTGTTCTGTTCATTCCCTCTGGGGCACCTGGTTGGAAGACAGGATACTGGGCTAGAGGGACAATTGGTCTGATCCAGTATGGCCGTTCTTGTGTTCTTATGTCCCTTTCGCTCATGGGCAGGTTAAGACGCATCATCCATATTGTAAATTACACAGATTTTCTCAGAGAGACACTTTCTTTACGTTGCATAAAATGACTTCCGAGGGCCATGCTGGGGGAAAGGTGATGTTATGTTGTCTCAGCAGCAAACATACTGCTAACAATAAAAATCCCCCAGATCTTTTAGTTATTAAATAACACGATTATGGAATGGGTCATTTGTAACATCCCAGTTAAAGTTGCTTCCAGTGCCTGCATCGTAAACAGAAAGCACCAGCATTCGGGCCATTAGAACTTGATCTGTAAATCTTGCTCCTGGTCTCTCTGTTCATGTGAGCGGGTCTCAGCTTGAGAACCTATTCACTTTATATTTTGTAGGCAAATTTTTGAATCCGTGAATGTTTGATTTATTTTAAGTAGGCTCCCAAAGTACTTTACGGTCTTTGCAGATTGTCTGTGTTTATACCCGGCCTGGTTAGTATCTGCTGGAGTTCACACTGGGTCCCAACATCCATTCCAACCCACCTTTGCCAGTTGCTCATGTGATGCTGACAAACTAATTCCTTTTAGGCTGAAATTTTGCACATTTTTTCTTAGCCCAGACACTTTTTAGAACATCTGAGCAAAATCTGTTGTCCGTTTTTTTCAGTTTTTTTCAGTAAAAAAAAAATATTTAGACCTTTTCCCAGTATATTCTGCTCAGAAAATTTGTGCATGGATAACTCAGCAGTGACTGAAGGCAGAGACACCAAACTTAGCTTGTTTTATAGATCTCATTAAGATTTAGAGAGCAAGCTCAGTTTGAAGAAAGTTGGTTCAGTAGTTTTTAAGGTTATAAGAGCTGAAGGGGGAGTTTCATGCATGCCTAAAAGAATGTTTCTATCAACCTTTTGGAGTGATCTAAACAATCCTAAAGAGCTGAATAAATTGAGATCCATGAATAAATTAGGCTTGCCTTGAACTAAAATTTGTCTAAAGTTTTGAGACAATTTATGCTTTCAGAGATGGGGGAGTTTGAGATGATTTGGAGTTTGACAGGATTGCTGTGGTTGAGAGCCAACCTCGGCATTTCAGAGCAGCCATGTTTGTGCTGGCCAGGAGCTTGGATGGACAGAATTTAAACAGCCAGATTCCAGCTGGTGTCCTCCATTCTAGCCAACACAGAAGCAGCTCTTACCAAAAACGTCCTAATGCTGCCTTGCCTGGAGAGGTGAATGTGTCGGGATCTCGTGAGGGAGTGGAGTTAGTGAAATCAGGGCAGAGAGAAATGGGGATCGCTGGAGAGGAATGAAGAAGAGGGGAGAAGCCCCGTGAATAGAATGGATGATAGCCCACAATGTCCTCTGAGGTGCGGTTGTGGACCATACTTCTTCTCCCAAAGGTGCCAAAAGGGGAAAGGAGACTCCCCTACAGGCGAGAAGGTGGTTTCATGCTAGTTGACGTGGCAGCTGCTTGTGCCATAAAATGCATTTCAAAGAAATCAGATTAATTCAAACTGGAGCAGTCCCGGGAGGTTCTGAAAGACCAAGCTGTGACGTGCGTCTGCTGTGAGCTACCCCATTGGCCAGTGATGGGCATGCGAGGGGGGCATGCCACATTACAGCCTCTAAAAAGGGGGATTTCCCAGCACCTCCCCTCCCCCAGCTACTTTCAACTGGTTCTTTTCTGAGATGACCCATAGTCCTTTGCACTTATCCAAAGATGGCACTGAGGGAATCACCACACTGGGGAATGGGCCACTCTGTGAGGTTGAGGAGGACCCAACAAGAGTTGTAAGGCAGGCTTTCTCAACCTGCAGATCGTGATCCCATCCAGGAGTTAGGGGTTCATTACCCCCCACCCCCCATTCCTAAATAGTAGTGGGACCACTGGCTGAAAGTGGAGTATTGGTATGGAAAAGGGGGTCCCGATGTGGGCAGGTTGAGAACTACTGTTCTGAGGTAACGGCAATAGCTTATGTTTTTATAGTGCTGGTTCTGCAATTCCTTTATCGACTATGGGCTTAATTCTCCTCTCACTTAAACCAGTTCTACCCCCATGTGACCCCCCGCTGACCTCAATGGAGTTACTCCAGATTTACACCAAAGCGAGAGCAGAATGAGGGCCCCTCTCACTGGGGTGGGACACAATGGCGCTGAGCAGCCATTTTGGACAGGGAGCAAATGAGAACGTCGCGTTAGTTTGAAATGGCAGCCGGGATGGCAAGGCCATTCTCTCACGCCAGGAGGATGTCACATCCACTCTGTAACCTGAGCGCCCGTCCCACAGGATACCCTCCCCCCAACTGTCACCCCCGGCTCTGGGGAAGAACAGCCACCTGCGATCTAGGCCAGCATTGAGCACCACACCCAAATGTTGGGGCTGTGTTCAACTGTGACGTGGTCACAGGGGCAGCTTGGATGGCTGAACGAACAGAGGGCAGGGAACGCATGTCAGCCACTTTCCTTCAGGCCGGGCCTTTCCTGGACTTGGTGTTCTCCCCTCTGTCTGAGATGCTCCATCTGCTCTCATGCCTGTTCACCGGGGAACGCTGGGCCACCATCACGCTGCGTGCATGGCAGCGTCGTGACGTTACATCATCATAGTGCTGCACGGAGACCCCAATTGTTCAGCACCCATCACGGCACAGCTTTGTGTTAGTCCCTGGGCTTTTCCCAATGAGCTGTCTAGGGTGTCGTAGGCCAAGGCCCCAGGGCTCTGCAGCCCCTCGGTCCAGAGGTGCCGACTCCGTGGGTGCACAGGGGCTTGCAGCTCAGACAGACACACCCGTGCTAGTTCTAAAGTAGCCGTGTAGCCGCGGCTGTACCGGCAGCGAGATGAGTTAGGTGCTCTGAGTGTGATCCTGTCTGAAACCGTAGGTACCTACTCGGGGCAGCTAGCGCCCCCTGGTGCAGCTATAGCTACGCTGCTATTTTTAGCTAGCTGGCTCGCTCAGAGCTAGTGTGGGTCGTCTCCAGGAGATGTAGACGTACCCTCAGAGGGGAAAACTCGAGACCCCTCTGCCGAGACATTGGAAATGATCGGACCAGGCACGAGCCCTGGAGAGGTCCTAATGGCTCGCCGGTGACAAACTGGCCTGCCCCCGGAACATACACCGACCCAGTCATCGCACACCGGGGGGCTTCCCATCCGCCGCCCCACCGAAGGCGTGAGAGCGAGAATGCGCGCATGCGAAAGGGGCTGATTCTCCTCTCCTCCCACATACGCCGCTGCCCTCCCCGTGGCAGGCAAGGCAGCCGCACCATGCTCAGCTGGTGGGAGACGGAGGGGAATCGGCAGCAACGCAGTAGGTCTGTCCATGCCAGCGTAGGGCAAAGGGGGCATGTTGCCCTCCCAGTTCCCCTGTAGGCGAATCTGTAGAGGCTGTGGGATGGTGTTGCTACACACTGTTAAGCAGCTGCTGCATTGCACCGTAGGCGCATTTCAGCAGGAGGGGAGGTGACTGTATGTTGAAGTCCTGATTTTGCAGTTTCGACTTGTGCCCTTGAGATCAATGGGAGTTCATGAGTAAGGACTTCATGAGTGGGCCCATTGTTTGTAAGGTGCTTGGGGGAAGCCAGGCCATTGAGCTTGTATATTTAAGCAAAGACTTATTCAGAGCCTGGCCCAGAAAGTGGGAGTTGTTGTTGAATTGCTTTGATCTTCAGTCTGGGAGCATCGCACCCTGACTCTCTCTCTCGTTCTCTTGCAGAAGCCATGACGGAAGCAGTGAGTTCGGGCAGAGATTGCCTGCAGGCCGGGGAGTCCTGCACCAATGATCCCAGCTGCAGCTCCAAGTTCCGGACCCTCCGGCAATGCATCGCAGGCAACGGCGCCAACAAACTGGGGCCGGACGCCAAGAACCAGTGCCGGAGCACGGTGACGGCCCTGCTGTCCAGCCAGCTCTCCGGCTGCAAGTGTAAACGGGGCATGAAGAAGGAGAAACATTGCCTGAGCGTCTACTGGAGCATCCACCACACCCTGATGGAAGGTCAGTCGGGGCCACGTCTCAGCGGGCGGGTTTTCCAAACCGGGTCTTAAAAAGGAAATGTGTGTTGGTGAAACACGCCAGTTCCTGCTCCTTCTAGCCACAGAACAGGATCAGGGCAGGGAGCAGCTGGGCTAGCTTCTTCCCCCCCTTGATATGGGCAGACTGAAACCTTCTCCCGGCAAGTTGAGTTGCCATCCAGATGGTGGCCTCTCTGCTGAGATGCCCATCTGGTTTGCAGTTAGTGCTGGCTCTGGTGGTGGTTTTTCATGCCCACTCAGATCTCACCTACCCATTTTCCCCAGGTTTCCCACCAGCCACATCTGATCATAGAGAGTTTTGGTTCCTTCAATGGACCAGCATTGACTTAGACATGACAGGCTCTGCAGTCAGTCGCCTGGGCCACTCAGGTCGGGTCTACATCTAAATCTTAGGTTGCTCCAACGACGTCACTCGGGGATGAGAAAAATTCACTCCCTGCGCAGCGTAGTTAAGCCAACCCAAGCCCTGGTGTAGACGGTGCTAAATTGATGAAAGAATTCTTCCTTCGACCTAGCTACTGCCTCTCAGGGAGGTGGATTTGCTACGGTGAAAGAAGACCCCCTCCCATTGCTGTGGTGAGCGTCTTCACTACAGCGGTGTAGCTGCAGCGTTTCTAGTGTAGACATGCTTCAGTCCCGCTACCAACGGTATCCAGAATGGTGTTAACAAGGACATATCAGAGTGGCTACTTCATGCCTCAAGCTAAGGTGAGCCCTGGGCCGGGGGTATGTGTGCAGAGCTGCTACGCCAGCTGCATCAGCTAGACCATTTCATCTTCAAAGCCTTTGGTCTAATTCTGCATTGCCCCCTTTATCTATCATCATTATGACATAGTGCCCAGAGACCCCAGTCAAGCTCCATCATTCTGGGCTCTTCACCGAAAGCAATCCCTGCCCCAGAGAGCTTGCAGCCTGCATTGTAACGACGTCTCTGGGCGTTCCATGTGGAAGGCACTTGGGATCAAGCCCCAAATTCACTCAGCTTCATTTCTCCCCAGCTGTGGGGTGGGGAATTAATTATTAGGAAGTGATTTTTCCCAAGGCTGCAGAGAGCATCAGTGACAGAATGTGGGTGTTCCTGCCCCCCCGTGCCTGTGCTGACACCACCTGGACACAACTCACACATTAGCACAGGGATGTTGTATTTGTGTTTCCAGCACTGGGAAAGAAATGCAAAACACAGGGGATACTCGGTGTGGTTAAAGCACAGAAACTGGGAGCCAGGAGATCCAGGGGTAATAGATTTATACATTTTAAGGCTAGAAAGGACCATATAGCAATCTCAACCAATGATTCCTGCATCAAGCCCATATCTTCTGGATGAGCAAGAGTTTGTCTGTTTGTTTCATACATCTTGATTTAAAGACACTCAGTGGTGGGGAATCCACCAAAGCCCTTGGTAAGTTGTTCCAATGGTTAATTACCCTCACTGTTAAAAACATCCACCTTATTTCTAACCTGATTTTGTCTAGTTTTAGCTCCCAGCCATTAGATTTTATTATGCTTTTGTCTGCTACATTTGATCCCTTCCCATATAGGTACTTCAAGATGGTTCTTTTCCTAACTGTGCTACAGTTCTGCTTTGTCTAAATCTCTTTACTGCTTGTACCTCAGTTTCTCCATCTGTATAATGAGGCCAATAATCATTATCTAACTCCCCGGTGGCTACGAGACTTAATCTGTAATGTTTGTGTCCTGGGTAGAGATCTGTAACTGGGAAAGTGCAGCATTTTTCTTAAAAAAGGAATAAACTAAAACTGTTTTTGTTGAGTTTATATAAATGTCCCTTTCAAGTCAGTGTTGAAGAAATAATGTGGTGTGGGTGACAAAAAAAAAACCAATCTGGGAGTTGTGATGGATCCCAACCTCAACATGAGTCAGCAATGCGACGCTGTTGCAAAAAAAGCAAATGCAATTTTGGGTTGCATTAACCGAGGCACAGCAGGCGAGTCACGGGAGGTGATAGTAACGCTCTACTCGGGCCTGATTAGGCCTCAGCTGGAGAACTGTATCCGGTTTTGGTCGGTGCCGTATAGAAAGGATGTGGAAAAACTGGAAAGGATCCAGAGGTGAGTGACAAAGATGATCAAAGGGACGGAATACAAGACACATCAGCAAAGGCTGAAGGAACCGGGTATGTTTAGTTTGGAAAAGAGGAGATGGCGGGGGGACATGATAGTGGTCTTCAGACACTTGAAAGCCTGCCATAAACAAGCTGGAGAAAAGCTATTCTCTCTTACCACAGAGGGCAGGACAAGAAGCAATGGGTCAAACTACAGCACAGCACATTTAGATTAAATCTCAGGACAAACTTCCGTACTGTAAGAACAGTAGGACAATGGGACAGACACCTAGGAGGGTTGTGGAAGCTCCTTCACTGGAGGTTTTCAAAAAGAGGCTGGAGACACCTTCTCTTGGATGGTTTAGACACAACAAATCCTGCATCTTGGCAAGGGCTAGACTAGACGGCCTTTGCAGTCCCTTCTAACCCTGTGGTTCTATGTTTCTAAACCAAACTCCGTTGAGTTTCCTGCCTGACCGTGTCTTTGGGATGTGTAAGATTTGCGGCGCATGCTCCTGACGCTGAATTTCATCCCCGCACCCTGCAAATATTTTAGTAAATGTTGATTTAATATTTTTTAAGCGCCCTTATAAAAGTGCACATCAGCAGCGATAACTCTCCCCTGTCAGGCCTGCCAGTGTTTTATGCACCATGAAAATTAAATGAGGAATAAAATGGCTGCTTCCAACCATAGGCTGCAGAACAGATAGGTTAATAAAACGCTGACAGGAGCAGAAAGCAAAGGTGCCGAGGGTGATGTTTGGATCAAAAGGCTGAGCAGAACAAAATGAACGGGAAAAGCGCTGCCCAGACCTACCAGCAGCAAGGACCGCGTTGCCCATCTCTCAGAAACCTGAGTGCAGCTCTTAGGCCGAACCTACAAGGCGCTGAGTGCTGTGATGTGAAGTCATTGGGAAATAAAGGGGCTCAGAGCCTTGCACGATTGGGCCCTTCTTTTGGGTTGCTTGTTGGTTGAGTTCACTGTCAAGGAAATCCCCAAAGCAGGGCATTTCCAGGGCTATTGTGGAGAGATACACAACCCGGTGCTCTGCTTCCATTAGCTATTGTTGTTGTTAATTATCTGTGTTACCCTAGCACATAGGAAACCGTTTTATCACCTTTTACAGATTAGTCCTTGCCAGCAGGGGCGGCTCTATGTTTTTTGCCGCACCAAGCACGGCAGTCAGGCGGCCTTCGGCGGCGCGCCTGCGTGCAGTCCGCTGTTCACGTGGATTCGGCGGCGTGTCTGCGGGTGATCTGCCGCCGCCGGTCCCGCGCCTTCGGTGTGCCCGCCACTGAATTGCCACCGAAGCCACAGGACCTGCGGACCTCCCGCAGGCACGCCGCTGAAGGCTGTCTGACTGCCGCCCTCACAGCGTCCCCCACTGCTTGCCACCCCAGGCACGCGCTTGCTGCGCTGGGGCCTGGACCCGCCCCTGCTTGTCAGCCCATTGAGCAATAGGCCAAATGGAGAGTTTCCTTTTCCCCCTACATATCTCCACTTTATTTTACGGAATGAAAAATTGATCGTATGAAGGTTTGCATGACAAGTGGCTTAGCTTACGCTGATCTTTCAGGTTACCGTCACATTTGTTGGCTGCTGGGTGATACAGAAACTCGGAAATCAACATGGCTAACAATGATTGGAAGACTATGCTAAAGTCAGTGCTCAGGGGAGGAGCAAACAACATGTGCAGTCATGTGTGGCAGCTCTGCAGGTCACGAAGGGTCACCGTCTCAAAGCTTGGTTTGATAAACAAGCATCTGAAAATATTAAGAAATGTCAAGTACTAAAAATATTGCTTGGCAGAGTCAAAACTTCCGCTACTTTAGGTGTCGCCTTCCACGGCCACCGTGAGGTGCTGGAGAGCAGCAAGTGTGGTATTTACCTGACAGACATAATACAACTTTTGCCCAACATATCAGCGACACCAAGATAGACAATTACTGGTGAACTTATACGTCTTTTAGCAGGTGGTGCATACTTAATATCAGCAAAGAAGCTATGTTTTTTTTTATTGTCATTGTAGATGAAGTCATGTATATTAGCCATGTTGATCAAATGGCCATTTTGCTTCGCTTTGTTAATGTTGATTGTGTCAAAGGAGTGGCAGATATAAAAGAGCAGTTTGTAAGCTTTGAGCAGTAAGTGAGGCAGATGCTGCATCCTTGTGTGACCAGTAATGTTTTATCCTGCAAATATGGATCAAACGCCAAATAGATGTCTGGACAGGAATAGGATAGTGCCAGTGTTATGGCCGGAGATCATGGAGGATTGCAAGCAAAAATGAAAGAATATCCTTCAGGCAGGGGAGACAAAGTGTGGGCACCATACATCCATTGCCCAGCACATCACATTAACCTAGTTTTGGCACATGCTGCTGAAGGTAAGGCCAGTCCAGATCTGAAGGTTTTCTTCACAACTTTGCAGGAAATATATAAATATCTCAGAGACTCTAACCATCGATGGGAAAAATTAATGATTAAGTCTAAAGAGAATCTTTATCTTCTTTATCTGTATCGTGCTTGAGAGAGTACAGCTTTGCAAAAGGAAGAGGAGATAATGATGCATTTCAAGCCCCCCACAGAAGTTGACAGGATTGATGCAGCAGATGAAATTGAACACGCTTCTGAAGAATGAAGGAGACCTTTACATCTAAAGGTACGCTGCGAGTCTAGATGGGCAGCTTGAATGAAATGAGGCAACAAAAGTAAATTTTGAGAATGTAATTGAATGCCTAGAAGATTAAACTGTTGCCGAACGCAGGAGTAGCGAGGACATACGTTGAGCAAAAAGCAACCTGTCTTTGATGGCTTGGATGGTTTACCTCAATCTATTATAGTGGCATAGGATCTTAGTTATCACAGCTGCAGCCTCTGGAATCCTACAGTCAAAGCAA